GTAATTATTAAATACTGGCATGAAGCCTGAAGTGAGCTGTTACTTTGCAGCTTCTAACCTAGGTGTCCTTGTGTGGTGCTGTGAATGGCCTCGACTCTCCACACCTCTTTATTTGTGGGCCTGAGATCTGACTGCAAATGATTTATGCTACTGTAGAGTGCAAAACAAGCAATGCTAGGAATAAGAAAAGAATTTATTATTGTGACCAACCAAGTTGTGAAACTGGAAATAAAGAGAAGCTGACATGTGGCTTATTACCTGTCTCCCTGTTCTAAGAATGTTCGGTATATTCCTACCTACGAATACTTTGTCCATGCATTCTTTCTGCCCTTTCAAACTGAGAGTATTTGATTTAGATTGAAAGTTTTTTCCCATCCCAGTGTGTCAGGTAGCCCCTGTCTATTCCCTGTGTATATAAGGTTTGCTTAACTCCTGGTTTCCCAAAAAAAAGTAATCCTAACTTCAGCTACCAGGGTTTCTGGCAAATGGCAAAGCGCTTAGCGTGGATCAGAGCCAAAGCCCTGAGGTTTGGTGAGCCAAAATGTCATTGAATTAGAGCAATTATTTGGCATGTGTCCATTGTTCTAGGAGCCTGGGTTTCCCTGGAGGCTGAGAATTGAAGTGACACTTTATGTTTGGAGCTGGCAGCCAGCTTTGTCAGCGCTCTGCTGCAAGGAGATCAACTGCAAAGTGCCTGCGCTGCCAGAGCACAAAGGCACCCTGAGAAAGAATGGTTGCATCTTACCCTCGCTGCACTGGGCAGGATTTTGAACTGTCAGAGGACCAATTGCTTTGACACCTGCCATAAGGCACTTTTAAGAGAGAACTGTCAGGAAGAGGGAGCCTGGGGCAGGTCTGACCGGCTTCGTTGGATGGGTTTTTCGGTGCTTTAAAAAGACAACCAAAGCAACATCTTGAACTGATGACACCCTCTGTGGCCTCTTGTTGCAGGGTATGCTCGAGAGCTGTGGGCAACCACAGAGCTGAAGCTGATGGGACTTGAGCTTTGACTCATCACGTGTCATAGCATCCAGCTATCAGGAGCATAAAGCTCAATAGGGAAAAACAGTTATTTTTAACATCAAAATCAAATTGAAACAAAAGGATTGTGTTGTGTTAAGGATGGTGCTAGGAGCCATAAATTACATGCAGGCTTGGAGCTTGGACGTGAGCTCATCCCAAAAGAGTTTATAAAGAGCCTTGTTGTGCTTTTCTAATCAATGCAGGTGTTGATGACGTTTTACCAGCTGGAGATTCTGGAAGAAGATGTAATTCTCAACTGGTTCTCTCTGCGGAACACATCTGACAAGGGGAAGCAGCTTCGTAAAAACCAGAGGGTAAGTCCCAGAAGTGTGGAGTCTATTGTGCGTGTGTGTTCCAACAGCTCCTAGAAGGAACTGCAGAGTTGAGTTCAGTGCCACTGTCACCTTCTGTGGAGCAGCCATTGCACAGTAGGCCAGTAGTGCACCAGTGTATTCAGTGCTGAACAGTGCAACCTTGCTGTCCAAAATGGATGTTTGTGTGCATTTTGCTGTAATCATCCTGTTTGATGAAGAATGGAGGTGGGAGAAGAGGAGCATGGTTTTTAGTGGGTTCTGTAGCATGAGGCCTGTGCTTTCTGGAGCAGCAGCACAGTTTCACTAAGTCAGCACCTATCTGAAATGGGCCTTAGGCCAGTGCCCTGTTTGCTGGTCCCATGCAATCCCTTTGAAACTTTCATTCTTGGCTCACCAGCCCCTTTGCATATATTTCTAAGCATCTGCAGTAGTGAGTGGTTTCATTTGGCTTACGCTGTGAAGGAGCATATAACTTCCCCCCTACATCAGACAGAATTTTATGCTGCAGTTTGGCTGAGCCTTGTTCCAGTCCTCGTCCATGGATGGTAAGAGGAGGAAGTGAAGAAAGCAATCTCTGAGAAACTGCAGCTTTGTTTAAAGTCTTTGCAAAGTCAACTCATAGTATAGGTCAGCAATGCTTTCAGATGGTGATTCAAGGTAGAAGCAGGCTGCCTTTTTATAGCGTTCTATGAGGGAGCAGGTTTCTCCTGGCAGAGCTTCCAGTGTCCTAGCTAAGGCACTGCTGTCATCTCTCCTCCCTTGAGCTCTGGAAAACTCTCATGCTTTTGTCATCTGACAGAATGTTGTGGGTACTGGTTGGAGGAACCCAATGAACCTGTTCTTATGTGCAGCAGTAGTACTTGCAACAGCACAATATAGTTTTTGAGTGTTTCCAGCACCTGTTTGTCGCTTGTGACCCAGTTACATTTCATTCTGTCTGCAGCTTCAGAAGTTCATCCAGTGGTTGGAGGAGGCAGAAGAAGAGTCGTCTGATGGCGACCAAGACTGACGTGGTGACTTGGCATGAGAAGAGGCACTCTCACTGCCTTTCTGGGCTGAGTGGGCAGGGCAAGATCAGTGCCAGTGCATGGTGTGTAGTTGTGGGGCCTGACATCAAAGTGACTGACAATCCCATCACTAATTGTGTTGTGCATTCCCAACTTTGCTACTTCCCTCCCTCCCTGCCACCCTTGCTTGCCTAGTGGCACGTTACGTTGGATGGTTGCAGCACAGTGTAAAAACAATATGGGAAAAGCAGGAGGCAATGACATCTAGAATCCCTGTGGGGCCTGGATACGGTGCACTGTAAGCTATCTTTCGGGAACTCCTTGTTACTAATGCAAAGGGAGCAAATAAATGCAAATGCATACGACATCCTTGTAAATCAAACCATTTGGGTCGTGGAAGAGTGGTCATACAGCCCAGTTATTGGGAGTCATTGCTTCTGGAGCTAAGAGAACTCCTGCTGAAGAGACACTGGCAAGGTTGGTAAGTAGAAGCATGTGGATTAGGATCTGGAGTGCGGGACTGGGATTCAAGAGTTCCTGTGCCTTGAGAAGATGCAGTTAGTTGTTTTAGGATGCCCAAGGCACTTTGCAGTCCAGAAGGTGTTTGTGATCTTTACAAAAGGGAGAACCTCTTGCCATCTGCTGTGCCAGTATCTAAAGAAGGGTTGCACAGCAGAGTTGGTAATATCATGTGTGTCCCCTTTCTTTAGAACAGGGGATGGTGTAAACTCAGCTCCCCTAACAGGGGTTGGCTAATAGCAGATGCACGCTGCTCAGTGAAATGCTGTACAGTTTACTGCATCTTAGGTGCGATCTGCCTTCTGCGCGTCCCCAGCTGAGCAGACACGTTGTTTTAGCAGTGTCTGTTTCTTTGTTGGTTTATATTTTAACAAAAAGGGAGCAGAGATGCCTAGCTCCTCCTGCTGCACAGCTACGCCTGTGTTTTGCTCTGTGGGCACTGACTGAACCAGCTGCTTTCAGGGGCAGCTTCTGTTCATTATGTGGATTATAAATTGGGTATTCTGACCTTGCCTCTGCCCCTTCAGGAGGAGCATGGAATAAACCCCGTGAGAGGGAGGGGAAATAAGCACTGGAGCTGCCCGCTCAGGATCTTTACTTGGCCGTTCCATGGTGCCACAAACATCAGTGAGGGGACAGCAGTGGATGCTGGAGGCTGGGGGTGCTGCCTCTTCCGAACTGATGCTGCAGGGCCATCTTGTGCACTCACACTACCAGTTGCCAGGATTGTGCATAACTGCTTGTTTTCTCCAGTGCAAACTCAGCCTTGTAAATGTTGGGGAAATGGTATCTGAGTTTTCTGTATCTGCCGTTATTTAATTCAGGGAGCAAATAAAAACTGCTGGTGATATTGGCCTGCTTGGTTTGTTTGTATGCGTCTTTGTTGTACAGTTGAGCAAGGCTTACAGGTAAGCTAGGTAACGCATTGCTACTTTTTGCTCAACAGATTTCAAGCACATGTTAAGCAGGTAAAGATGTCAGCACTCTGAATTGGTATAAAGGCTCAATGATTGCTCGTGACCTCGTTATTTGAAAGCAGAGAACAGTTTGTCACAACTGCTGAACTTAGAATCCTGACGTGAATGAGGCTTAGTTTTGTGCGGGCTTACGGAAATCCTATGAAATCTGCTTTTTCTTTGCTGTGAGGAGAACTAGGGTGAATATTGGGTATGTATTGTGCCATGCCCTCCTGATAGTGGAGTGTAGTGGATTGTACTGGAGGTGCCAGTAGAACAGCAAAAAGGACTTGAGGTTCTCCAGCATGGAGTTCTGGCATAGTTCAGCATCCCTATGGGCAGGTGAGTGCATACTTTTTTACAGAAGCATTAATTGCTTTGCTTAATCAAGGGGGCAGCTTGATGGTTTCTAGTGCTTCCTGTCAAAGCTTGTGTTTGGTTGGAAGGTTAGAAATGCCTGAGATCAGGTTTGGCTGCAGTTGCTGTGTTACTTTGAGCTGTGTGAGCATTAAGGCCACAGCACTCATCTTGTGTGATGGATGTGTTTCTCCCGGTGTTTCAGCTAACAATAGCACACAGCTTACAACGAGAAAATAGTTCCCTGCTGCTTATCTTAAGTGGAGAATAAGGGTGATGCTGGGACCCGTGCATGGCTGTCAGGGAGGCTGTGAGGCGCAGAGG